TGATTGATATGTATTAGAACTATTCTGATTCTTTGCTTGAGGATATAATTTGAATACCATTGCTTAACCTTAATCTTAACCTTTTGTCATCTTTGTGCGATGGTTTAGTTTCCGTTGCTACTTGCTAGTAAGTGAAAAACCAAATGTTACCACTATTGTCAAGAACTCCCTGTACTGCTTGCTCATAATAGTAATCATACAAATGACTTCAACCAGTAGCACACAGGTTGTTGATGGAGCGCTTGTTTAATATCGATACAATAGTGGAAGGCAAAACTGGTAATGATAACAAAGATGTTTGAGTTCAGAACAGTTTTGGGTATAAGCAATTAATAAAGAATACACATCTATCGTTTTATTATTCGGATGAGCTATTTGTTTTAGAATACTCATCTTATATGCACTTGAATAATATCAATTTAGATACACTTAAAATGATTTTAGTTAATTTAAAATTTTCTAATTTGAAATTATTTGTGCCTGGAGGAGTACCCAAGTTTTAAAAAGACCCAAGAGACTTAATTTCGAATTTGAACAGATTTCTCTTCAAGATTAAGTATATTTGTCTTTTAAATATACAATCTTTGAATTATAAAGTGGTTTTAGATTTTTCTGAGGTTTTGTTGTTTCACCATCTTTAAATATAAGTGATTTGAAAATTAAAAACTTTATAATTATTCATAAGGTTTTAAATATTATTCCTTAATTGCTGAAAGTGGTAAACCTCAGTAGTATACCTTTTTTTTAAAATTTTGTTTATAAGCTATCAACGATTTTATGTCTTATTAGAATATCATATCAAGGTCAACTAAACGGAATTAGAATTAATAAATGCCTTCATTTTATAAAGAAAATATAGATAAAACTAAATCTGATAGTGCTAAATCTCTTAGAAAATATACCAAGTAAGTTTAATATTTCTCTATTGATTTTTTGAATTAAAAGTACTAAAATTTCTTAGAAGACTTAAAATTAATTTAACTGTTGTTAGTGTTTGTTTCTAATTTTAGATTAAAATAAAATCACCCTCTTTGGAAATATTTTCTTGATGAGAATTAATTAATTCTATTCTTAATCATAGCGAATGCGGAATTGTAACAGTCATTTATGTTGATATGGATATTTAATGATGATCGTGATTTTTTACTTGCTTTACCAAATTGTCAAGGTTGTGTTTATTTATCTAAATTCAGTATTGATAATCTATTTAAAGACCCGAAAACTTATGATTTATAAGTGTTCTAATTCTACCTTCTTGTAACTACGCAATTAACAATTATATTTTTTTATAACTTTAGCTGCTAATAATGCCTTTTCTAAAGCAAGCCATAAATTGTGAAGACTCAACTTATGTTTGAACAATCATCATATTCATGTAGAGGGGTAATCTATTACATTGGTTGCGAAGATCTCATAGTTCTATTGATTCTTGTTTGCAGGGGGGGGGAGGCGATATATTATTATATAGCCCTTACTTTATGAGAGTGTTTGTTAAATGCAAGGAAATGCTAAAATTTTGTAGGTGCATTATTTATGAAAATATTTCTAGAGATTTTTATTTTAACTCAACATATCCTGGTGACTTATGAAAATTTAATTTCACTGCATTTAGTGCTACCATTGTTATTTCTGTTTTAATGTTATATAGTTGTTCTTTTTTGTGGCACAACATCTACCTATTTATCATAAATGTTTTTGAGTCACAATTAATTCTAATAGTAAATTGATGAGAACCTTGTGATTAATGTACCTTTTATATTAAGTGCATCTTCTACTTTTCTGGAACTTAACTGAAATGTTGTACAAATCAAAAATAATTATTACATATAGAGCACTATAGCCATTGTAGATAGATACCTCAAGACATATAGATTTAAAATACTCAGCAAACTAATAGTCTGAAAATTCGTTGTTGACCCTAGCAAAAAATAAAATCCAATTATGACCAATTTCTTAGGAATAAACACAATGAATCCAAAATCTAACAATGCCTTATGAAAAAAAAAGGCCTTGAAATCAACCAAA